AGAGGGAGAAGCAGGCTCCCCACTGAGCAGGGAGCCCGATGTGGGACTCGATCCCAGGACCCTGAGATCATGACCTGAGCCGAAGGCAGATGCTTAACTGACTGAGCCACCCAGGCGCCCCTTTCCTCTTCTTTGTAGTGGAATGCTATGGGCACCTCATGCCTCCCATACTCATTGGTCAAGTCAGAAGGCATTTCTTCTGAAATATTGCTGTTCTAGATTTTTCTTATGGCAGTAGTGAAGACTTACTAAGGGGATTTTAGTTGGGCTCCCTTGTCATAGACCACTAACAGAGGAGATATTTTACTCTTCCTAGTGTTTCTATGCTGGGGATGACCCTTTTGTAGGGCCCAAAGTGCAAGTTGCTTTTGCCTATGGAGTTCATTAGAGTCTGTGTGTAGGTACCAGCAGACTTTATTTTAATATTTAACCCCAGAATTGTGCTATCTACCATTTGTCTCATTGGTTTTCCAAATAATGGTACTCTGACATGTTTATAAACTGTAACTGCCTTAAGGCATGTTTGTCCAGCGTGTATGCTTAGCAAAGTCTGTATAACTGGGATGGATTCCATTCTTTATTTATAAAAAAGTTATTAAGTGAATTTCATTGACTTCTAGTTTATCTTGTTGATACAATTGTCCAAAACAAATACGAAAGAAATTATTAGCGTTCTCTTGACTTCGTATATTAAAACTTTGGAACAGACCAAAGCCACTGAAGACCTAAATAAGTCCAGAGACAAACTTGAGAAGATGAAGGAGAAAGCTGAGAAAAAGCTAATGTCTGTCAAGCCAGAACTGGATACCACAGAGCACGAGGCTCAGGAGGATAAAGAGAGGGCCAGGAACATGATGGAAGTGGTAACCAGCGAAATGAAGACACTAAAAAAATGTCTGGAAGAAGCAGAAACAAGAGAAAAGCAGGTGGGTAGAAATCTGGGGGTGAAATTTTGTTTAGGAAAAGATGGGACAATTCAAAAGCTTGATAATTTTTCATACGTTTCTTCAAAAACAATTTACAAAGCTTTCTTTATCGTTTCAATGTATCTGCTTGCCCTCTCACATCTTTCTGGAATTAAAATGACCATTATGATTTACTCTGCTAAGAAAAATAATTCACAGTTTGATGGCACGAATCGTAGGAAAGAAAAAGACCTTCTCATCAAAGCAGTGGAAAGGCTGTGGAAAGCCAGGTTCTGGTTGTGGAGAGGTTTTGATTATGTTCACTGATTGCCTCTGAAGTTTGCATCATCCCAGGCTTCAACCTCAGGAGGGAAAGCTTATCTCCAGCAGAGATCAGTGTCAGGAAACTGTCCCAACTCTCAAACAGTGGCACCCAGACTCGATGGCCAACCTTGCCCAGATGTAAGCTATAAACCGTACTCACTCGCTGACTGGTTGTAAGGAGGAGAGTTTTATCTGGTGAGCACATCAGGAGGTCAGGCATAAAGAAACTGTCCCGGGCAGCCTGACCCCCATTGCTTTTGGCTTTCATCTCCCTCTCTTGCTGGAGCTCAAAAGGGCAGAGAGTGGACTCTGATCTTAGGATTTTCTTTTTTTTTTCCTCTTCGGCTGCCTCTGCTTTGGCTCATGTGTCAGGCAACGTTGAGGAAGGCCAAACTATAAAGTGTGTGTTCGCAGACGGAAACCTCTCAGGAATGAAGAGACTTGACCATATGTGAAAGGGGAGAAAAGTTTGAGGGGAACTTTTTCATCAGGGACACTAGGCTGGAGAGGGTATTGTGTTCCCCCAAACTGGACTTAGCATGGGAAGGAGGTTGGGAAATGAAGGAAGACAGGGTGAGAATGTTTGGAAGGCACTCTTCCTGGAGGCAACGTCTATTGGGTCACATCTTTCCAAAATGGAAGGTACTTCTAGCAAGCGGTTTCCCAGATAGCCCTGACTTACCTGCTTCTGCTCTAGCACAGAATCACAGCAACCAGCGTACGAGAATTTAAGGGGTCTGAGGCACATTTGCATCCATGGTCTCCAACCTCCCCACCTCTCCATTTTTCCTTTTGTGATGGATGGAGAGTAGTCCCAGAGAGTCTACTGTTATGGGTTGTGAAGGAGGCTGTCATGTGATGTGATCTGGTCATTTTTTTAGTAGTCCTTCTGTTTTTATCAGCTCATACTTTCTTGCCCTTTGTTCTTCCTTTAGCTTAAGAGTTTCCATGCCCAGGGGCACATGGGTGGCTCAGTCAGGTAAGCGCCTGACTCTTGGTTTTGGCTCAGGTCATGATCTCAGGGTTGTGAGATCGAGCCCCACGTTGGGCTCCACAATCAGTGTGGAGTCTGCTGGAGATCCTCTCTCCCTCTCCCTCTGCTGCCCCATCTCATACACACACACACACACACACTCACACACTCTCTCTCAAATAAATAAATAAATAAATAAATAAATAAATAAATAAAATCTTAAAAAAAAAGTTTCCATGCCCAGTTAAAATTCTAGTGGGTAAGTACTTATCACCCATGGATACAACCACACCTTTGTAAAGCACTTCTTAGTATATAGAACACATACACAGTCATTGTTTCATTGGATCCAAATTTCAGAACAGCCCTGAGAAGTAGGTGTATGGTTATTCCCACCGGGAAGTGAGAACATGGAGTCTTAGGTCAGGGTCTCATTCATGGTTGCCTAACCGAGATTCTTGACCTGGTAGCCAATGCCACAGTAACTGGCTCATCAGAAAAGAGGTTATGAAATCATCGGAAGTTGGGGATGAAAGCATGTTAGAGGTAATTTAGTAGATGGCACCTTCCTATTTTATAAGTGAGAGGACTGAGGTTAAAGTCAGTAAGTGATTTGCCTACCTCATGCACACCTGGGCTTTCCACGGGTTTTTTTTGTTTGGTTGGTTGGTTGCATTTGGACTAGCAGTAGTTGATACATTTTGTTTTCACCCTTTGTGTGTGTGTTTGATATTACAGCTGGTGGACTTCAGGGAGGTGGTTTCCCAGATGCTGGGCTTGAACGTGACCAGTCTTGCACTTCCAGACTATGAAATCATCAAATGTCTTGAAAGACTGATCCATTCACATCAGCATCACTTTGTCACCTGTGCCTGCCTCAAAGATGTGATGCCCAGGGGAGATAGGCAACCACAGAGTCACTTAAAACTCCTTCATTGAATACCATCTCTCTTGGGGGAGGTGGAGCTAAGAGATGGGACACAACTGTCAATTTCACAAATTCCCCAAGCCTTTGACATTGATCAGTGTGTGAATACCATATATTTCGATGACTGTGCGTGTGAATCCATCATTTGCAAAAAAGGATCTCAGAGGTGCCAGCTGTAGGTTAATGTTTGACACTAAGAACACCTGTTATTTTATTTGCTAGCACTTTGGGACCCAGAAGAAGTCCAGTAGATTGCATATCTAGAATGGGCAATGGTGGTAGGAGATTAACATTTATGGGATTCTTTTTTTATGAGTCAGGGGCTTTACTACCCAATTTAATTCTCATAATGGTCACGTGGAGAAGCTTTAATGTTTTATTTTACAACCTTTCTGGGGCTCAGAGAGGGTGTTACCTACCCAAGATTGTAGTTGGTTAGTGATTGAACGAGCAGCCTTACCACGTTGGCCCTTGATCAAAGGCGGTGCCTTCTCTGCTACTCTACACTCCTCCAGTTTCTCCTGAAATCCTGTGATCCTGGTGAAAATTGCCGCCATAAAGGAGGGCAAACATTCATACATTCAATCAAGTCCAAAAAGTGACTGAGATTCATGAGTGTCACGCATATGATTTCTTTAAAAAGCATTACAACTAATTATTTGGATAAAACATACATAGGTCTGAGGTCCTATGAGAAACCTACTGGTTTTAAATGTTGCTGCCAGATCATATTTGGTGGTAATTTTTCATGTTTGAACAGGGTTGGTCTCAGTCCTTTAAAAGTGAAACCTTTAATGTGAAACCGATTAAGATGAAGAAATCCTGCCCAGGTTTACTCACCAATATATTACATGTACTGACAGCAAGAGTACTTTTTTAGGATCAGGGTTTTATTACAAATTTCCATCACTTCTGCCTTCTTTTTAAATTTCTATTTCACAAGTATTTTTCAGGAAACCATATTCTTAACTTTATTGAGAAAAACTTTTACTTTTTTGGGTGATTATCTTATTTTTGCCATATGAAAATATGTCTGAAAAAAAGCATTGGTGTCTAATTAAAGGAGGGGGGAAAAGAGATTACATTCAAACATTAAAAGTAAATTCTAGAGGAAAGAAAAGGAGTTTGACACTTAGAGGCTGGATGACAGATCACACAGAGGGAGAATGACTAAGGATGTCCCCTGGGGAATGGGTCAGGGTTGCCTGGCTTTCTCCCTCGTGTGCAAGGACAGTATGAAGAAGCATTTGTGACTGATTAAATATACCTGCACAGCCATGACTGAGGACATGAGCTAGGGCTGTAACAGGCAGGAGACTTGGCCTTGTATTTTCCCAGCGGAAGGGCTGTGGTCTCTGGAGATCCCTCCCCCCCACCACACTCCAAAGATGCAATGGCTACTGGTCTGGACCCACACTCACCCAGAGAGGTAGAGGCGACTTTACCAGTTGGGTCTCTAGAGGACTGAATTGCTGAGTGGCTGTGTTTCATCCACGCCATGGAAAGGTGGAGGGTGTTTAGAGATGGAGGGATTGTTTTTATACCTTCCCTCTGTTTTCATTCTCCAAATACAATCTTTAGTGAACTTCACTTATTTTCTCTGTAAATTTCATTTTCGACGCTATTCAGAGATACTTTTAACAGCATCACTTTAAAACCATGAACTGGCATAATAATATGTTTCCATTTCTGATGGAAAGACTACACACGGCATAAAAAAAAGAAGTTCTGTTTATATATATAGTCCATAGACACAGTAACTATTTGTCATTCGGATAAATTCAAATCCCTTAATAAAGCCATTTCTTTCCTTGTTGAAATGCCAGTTGATCGTTGGCTTTCCCTCTGTGGCATTCATTCTAGAATTGGCAACCCAGGCTCACATTTTTGTGTTCGATTTTTGTTCTTCCATAATACCCATGTATATTTTATGTTGTCCAATAAAATGTGTTAGATTGATGAGATTTTCTAAATAGGGCTTTAAAATATTTAACACCAACTCTTCTACCAAATACACTTGAGTGATAATTGCCTTTGAGATTATTATTCTGGTCATTGAGACATTTAAATGTATGCATAAAACATCTCAATTAGGATCAGGGTTTTATTAATTAGGGTTTTCCCCTAATTCTCAGGGAAAAAAAAGAAGTCTGAGCCATCTAAATTTTCAGTTCTACCTTTTAGTCTGTCTTACTGATGAACGTGAGTGATTTAAGGTCAAGGGGTGATGGGCTGAAAAGTGGTTAAACAGTGTCTCCATTATTTATATTGTAATAATACTTAGGACTTAGAAGTGGAGTTTATTCTTCACTGGGAAGCATTTCATGGTTATATAACCTTGAATCGGGGAGGCTCTGCCCGCTCTATGCAGTAACGATCTTATCCACATTATTGCACAACTCCACTTAGCTTCTCATCAGTAAGTGTGGTCTGGATGCTTCTCTCTCCCCTATGCAGCCTCCATACCGTTATGCCTGTGCCTTTGTATAAAAACCATCGCCATTTGAGACTCCTATTAACAGATATATAACTTTCTTCTGGTCTTCATTGCAGTTACCTACTAACATCCTGTCTTTTCTTCCTACTTAAGACTATTGCAGATGGTTCATTGGTGTCTTCTTCACCCTGTTAAGTACTGCCTTCATCTTGGATGACTTTAGTGCCCATAAGGAAAACTCATACAACACCCTATCTTTAGTTTCTTGGCCTTCTTGACCCCCATACATTTACCTCCTTTAGTTTCAGCTACTTAAACCTTAGAATGCAGTTTATAGTAATTCAACTTAGACTACCTTCAGTTGGGGCGCCTGGGTGCCTCAGTTGGTTAAGCATCTGCCTTCGGCACAGGTCATGATTCCAGGGTTTGGGGATTGAGTCCTGCATCAGGCTCCCTGCTCAGTGGGAAGTCTGCTTCTCTCTCTGCTCCTCCCCCACACCCCGTTTGTGCTCTCTCTCTCAAAAATAAATAAAATCTTTAAAAAATTATATTTAGACTAACTTCACCCAAAGAGAATTTGGTGGTGGTGGGGGGCTCATTTGAAAGATTCAGGTAGACTAGCTTCAGCATGGTTAGATCCAGTGATTTAAAATTGTTATTTGGATTCTTCTCGCTTCTACCCATCTTTCATTTCTCCTTGATTTGCTTGTCTTTGCATGTTGGTCTCACTTTCTCCTTCTGGAGGTGGTTCCTCCATGCTGCTGGAAAGATGGCCAGAAGCAGCTACGTGATCTTTACAACTCATAGCTGAGGAAATGAGAGACTCTGCCTCCAACATTCAGGGAAAGAATGTCAGGAAAGAAGAGTCTGATCATCTCTTCTTGGTCATGTACTCATCCCTCAACCAAGCACTTTAGGCAGGGGATAAACTCATTGGCCTGCATCCCATGCCAACTCCTGTAGCAGAGGCGGGGTGGGATGAAGTTCCAGGGTGATCTGTTCAACCAAAAGCACATGTAATGACAGAAGGAAAACTCCCCAAAGGAAGAGAAGCTGGACAGGCACACAACACACGTCTATGACACATAGTCCAATTTAGAATCTTCTAATCACCTACAACTTCTCCACCTCTGAAATCTTCAAATCTCCATAAACTCTTACCATTGCAGACCTCTATCTCTTTACCCCCACGCAGTTGTTCTTTGAGTCTCCTTGGTTCTCCTATTTTTCTCCCTACTAGCCTTGGCATCTGGGGTCAGCAGAGATCCTCTGGTTCCTTTCTTCAATCATTCTTTTCCCAACACCTTGAACTCCTTGTGCCCTTGCCCCTCTCCCCTCAGATTTCAATTAATCCCAACTAACAATGTTTCTGCTGCTTTTCCTGCCCCACCCGATGAGACTGGGGGAAATCACAGGTGGGCATGCCAAACTCAGGTCTGTTGGTCTCACCTGAGCCCTCTGTACTAACCAGTAATCCTCCACAGTGTTCCGCTTAGAGCTCACTGCCATTTTCTGAAATGACTCTTGCAAATCTTTTTCTCTTCCTCAAGGCTCTTAACCTTTCTCTTTCTTCACTGTCAGCAGATAATCTTGTTTCCTATTTCACCCACGAAATAGAAGCCATTACAGGAAATATCTTCAATATCAGATCCTAAAATAGCCTGCTATGTGTGCACACCCCTCATTGCCTCCTTCCCTCTTCCTGCCTTGGACTCTTTCCTCCCCCCGGCTGCTTGCATCCAAGCAACCTCATCCCATCAGTTGTCCTCTCTTCAACCTCACATTCATATGGCTCCTTTCCCTCTGCATTCAAATGTGTTCATCTTAAATCAGTCCTTCTACTCTGCAACAACTTCTGTGTAGGGCCTCACTTCCCTCTCTTTCTTCACAGTCGAACCACTTGAAAGTGTGGTTTCTATGGCTGTCTTTCTGGTCTTACCTCTTATTCCTGTCATTGTCCACGGCAGCCTGGCTTCGGTCACCACTTACCCAGCTCTTGCATTTTTTGTTAGCAAACCTCTGTTAGTTTTAAAGTGCTTGTTTTGCTTGATCTTTCTGTAACATGTAATACAGTTGACCATTTCCTTCTCAAATCATTCTTTTGCATTAGCTTCCATGATGTGGCATTCAATTCATTTTTTTCCCTTTGCCTCTCTGGGTTCTTGAGTCAGATTATTTTAAGGTTATAAGAAACAGAAGTGAAATAAGCGTTTAATGTAAGGATAAGTGTGGATATGAGCGTGGGTGGGAATCTTGACCTCACCGTCAGAACTCAGTGAGGAACAATCATACATCTCAGAAACCGGAATGTAGTCGATGGTCCAACAACTAGAGCGCCATATACAGGATCCAGTGTGGCTCTCACGGCTGGGAGCTCTTGCTTATCCCATGCATCCTGGTTTCCTTTAATGCCATGAAAACTCAACTTCCCTCTGTCTCTGCTTCTACTGCTTCAGCTGGTATCTCAGATGCCTGGCCTTCAGAACTGCGTGACAAAACATTTATGTTGTGTAAACCATGCGGTTTGTGGAACTTCGTTAACACAGCCCTGGGAGCCTAGGCCTCATCTTACAAGATTGCTTAGGTTTAAATAACATAGAGCATTTAGAAGATATCCTGGCATGTGGGGAATACTTGGCGCATGTTAGCAAATAATATTGCTATTGTAAATATCGATAACTAGTTTCACCTATTCTTGGGGCTTTAATTATCATCTATGCAATGATGATGCCAACCATTATCTCTCTAGATCAGGTTCCTGTCCTGATCTTCTCCCAGAACAATTATCTCTCTAGATCAGATTCCTGTCCTTCTCTTCTCATCTATAGGATGGTGTGGAGAGGACCCCTGTAGGAATTGAGCAAAAGAGACTTGGGTTCAAATATAAGCTCTGCTGAGTGACTTGGCCCAGGTGATTTACCACTTTGAAAACCAATGTGCTTCAGGACAAGAATAGGAATAACAAGACTAGTTTCCTCATAGAAGAATCCTTATATAAGGATTCAATGAGTCGATGTATATAAGGTGCGTAGCTCAGAACATGGACGTCACAAGTGCTCAGTGAATGTTGTTATATCCTACAGGTATCTCACACTCAACATAGGCAACATTGAATTTGTAATTTTTGCCTCCATCCTCTTCTTGCCAATAACCTACTTTTCTCCTGGGCTTCCTGCCTCAGCCAATGGCCTGGCATCTGCTCAAGTGTCTGAGGCTGGGTTTAGGGAGGGAACTCTGACTTGTCCCTCTCCCTCTTCCCACAGCTGGTGTCTGCTCTACCTCCTGTATTCTCCCTCATCTATCTACTCTTTCTTCCACATGAACACTAGTAGTTTATACCTCATTATCTCTCACTCACTCAGACTTCCCTGGGTTCTGAGCAGATGCTGTGATTCACTACCCAGGCCCCCCTCTAGGACCGAAGCACTCCTTTTCAGCTGCCCAGAGCTGTTGGCTCTTGACAACCCATAGCTGAGTTCCTGGCAAGGACTTGCCCTTGGCTGAAGGGAGCTACCTCATCCTGGGTCACAGACTTTACCCTGAGGCAGTTTGTATCTAGTGACTGGTCAATGTGGGGGTACAAAGACCTGACCTTCTTTCTTTAATTCAGAACCACTCTGAAGGGTCATGTCAGAATCAGAACTATGCCCCCCACCCACT